CTCTATCCACCGCGGAATCCTCACCCCTATGGGAGATATCACCACCACCAACGACGAACAACTCCGAGAGCTTACGGCCCCTGACCGTACCTCGGTGTGGAAGAGAACTCCTCCGTGGCTGTCGAGCGCACGAAGCAGAGACTGACGACTGAATACAAACGCAGAGTCCGTCTCGTACTGAAGACCGAGCTGTCTGGCAAAAATAAGATCGCTGCTCTCAATAGTCTCGCCACCCCTGTCCTCAACTACAGCTTCGGAGTTATCGATTGGTCACCTACGGAACTCCAGACCATCGATCAAGCGACCAGAAAACTCCTAACCAAGCATCACACCCACCATCCGAAGGCTGCCGTTGAAAGACTCCACCTTCCGAGATGCGCAAGGGAGGGAGGGGACTGATCAAACTCGAGTCCCTCTATAAGCGGACGACGTGCGAGGTCGCCACGTTCATCGAAAGGAAGCAGGGCCGACTCATTTCCATCCTGAGAGAGCGCGATGCCATAAAGAAATTCCACTCCATCCAGGGAGATGCCAGCCGCTTCCGAAACGCACTCCATCTCGATGATGACTGCGACACGACGGATGCGAAGACGGCAGACCAAGTACAAAGAGAGGCTCGATGGAAGGAGAAACCGCTTCACGGCCAGCATCCCAAGATCATGGATAAACCATCGATCGACTCGGACTTCAGCTATAACTGGCTGAAGAAGGGACTGCTGAATGCTGAGACAGAGAGCAACATCCTAGCCATTCAGGACCAATGCATTAGAACTCGTAACTACGAGAAGCACATCCTGAAGCTGGATGTGGAAGACCACTGCAGATGCTGTCATGGACCACCCGAAACAGTTCACCACCTCCTTAGTGCCTGCCCCAAACTAGCCTCGAGGGAATACTTGCACAGGCACGACCAGGTGTGCAAATATGTACACTGATGTGTCTACAAGCAAGCCGGCCTGGATGTCCCAGAGAGTTGTATGCATGATGAATTTTATTTTCTAGACGAATTCAAGTCCATTTGAAATCCCAGAGAGTTGGTACGACCACCAGCCGCAGTCTGTAGTGGAGAATTCCTCCACCAAGGTACTCTGGAACATGCCCATAATTACGGATCGCCCCATAGGTTGTAATAGACCAGACCTCACGATCTATAAGAAGACCACCCTCCTCGTAGATGTGAGCATCCCAGCTGATAATAACCTCCAAGAGAAGACCAGGGCGAAGCTGGAGAAATACTCCGAACTGAAAGTGGAAGTAGAACAGTTGTGCGGAATGAAGACCACCATCGTTCCGATCATCATCGGCACAACTGACGTCCTAAAAGACTTCAAGGGACATGTCAGGAAGCTAGAGTGTGAAATATCACTCGATATCCTCCAGCATCCTTCGCCGTGTCCTTCAGAATTAGGCGAGTATGAGATCTGGGATGTGGTTCATCCCCCTCATATCTCCAATACCAGCAGGTGCCGTGGAAGGATTTATTTATATATATAAATAGCAATTAGCAAATGCAAGTCATTTTATTCGTTGAATGGCAGTGAAAATATTTCATATGAAGATATAAATCCACAGAAGAAAATGTTCAAACCTTAAATGCATATAAAAGAGGCAGGGAAATGATTTTGGCATGAGTTCAAAGTGCATCAGAAGCAGCCTCCAGCTTCCTGAAGAGAGCTTCATATTTTTCTCCTTTCTGTTTGCTCAGCTGGACAAGATCATCTACCTGGTGTTTCAAATGGAGCAAAGCACGAACCTCTCCTTCCTGAAATCCCAAAAAATTCCCAGGTAATATATGAATGTAAAAACACGAGAACACAAAATCTCCAACACAAACTTGAAAAATAAAAGGGCTCTTAGTAAAGCTAGTTGTATACAGCTGAATGCACTCCAAGAATGGTTTGAATTGATCTGGACAACTACATTAATCCATGACACAAGTCCAACAAATCAAGATTCTATTACACAATTAGTTAACATGGACTCTCTCAGAATTGACTTTAAGATGACTTACAGGTTGACAAGCTGCTTCTACTTCAAGGAGTCGATTCTCAAGACGAACACTTCTCTGTTGAGCGTCTCTGAGTTGAGTTTCAAGAGTTCGTTCCTTCTTTCCCTGATCGGCCACTTTGCTCTTCAGCCTTTCTATTGCCTCCCTTGAGATGCTCAGCTGGGTCTTCAATTCTTCCACTGATTCCCCAGTATTGCTTTGGTCTGAGAAATTGTGCTCAACTCTGTGCAGGAATCCATCAAGAAATTGCCTCATGTATTCAGTGCCTCTCATTGCACAGGTTGCAAGTGATAAAGTTCTCCTTAATTGAGAATAAAGGGGGAGGGATAATAACACCAACAGAGATGTTTATCCAGGTGATCAATCAAATGGGAGCCTATTCCTGAACTTAGAATGAAGTGAGGTTAGTCATCATGCCACATCAGGGTGAAAGGTACTTCATGTGGCTAAATAAATTATTACAAAGGAATAAATGCCATCCAAGTAATCAATAGAGACCAGCATTTTCAGCCAGTTTACTGGAATAGGCCGAGTAAATGGGATCACATCCTGCATGGAAAACACTAACTGGGAATAAATAGAATTGTGGGTACAGATAACAGAGCAAAGGACCAGAAAGAAAAAAGTTCCAACTATCATTCTGCCAAGAAATTGAGCCATTAGGTGTAAAATCTGACCCTCTACTTGACAGTCCATAAGTTAAGCAAGGCAAATCAGACATTTTGTTCTCAAGAAGATGGAGATGAACTAGTGGAGTAAAACTCAATGGATGTTTGAAAAAATGCACAAGTTTGAAAAGCAGACAAAAGTGCCTGCTTTCCTATTCTTATTTGAGGTGAACTGTACTCATCAATACATGCCTCACCTTCGGGAAACAGGGCCAGATGAAAGATGCCTAAAAATGTGTGTACCGTTTGCTTCTCTTGTCATCCGAGAGGCAGCATCTGCTGAACCTAGGTCAAGATCAATTTAAAAATGATAAATTGAAACGAGAATGAGCATGAAGACAATAAAAAGAATATTGGGAGAAGGCATTCCATGTTATGTAGCTTTATACATTCCTTGTAAAAATATTGGAGGAATACAGACAATAATGACCTCACCAGGAGTAGCAGCAGAGGACTGGTAGAGAAGGTGCTCCCTCTCCTCTTGGAGCCTCCTCACAGTCTTTTCCAGAGCAGCATTTCGTCTCTGAAGTTCTTCTATTTGTTCCCGCTTCTCTTGGTTCTCCCACATGACTCCTGCATCTTGCTTTTGACGACACACCTCTGCTTTCAAATGAGCTATTTCTACCTCTTTTTCATGTAGCTGCCCTCTCAACCTGATCAGATGTTGCTCAGAAGCTACCTGGAGACAAGAAATCCACTTCCAAAATGGTTCTACCAGAATTAGGTTTCACAAGGTTGTGTGGGGTCATATTTGGACCACTTGTAAGTTTTTTTGCACTGAAATGCCTAAATCTGCAGAAAAGACCATGGACACCTTGCACAGGAAAGTAATTGAAGCTTTTTCTTCTGACACTCAGTGTTACAAGAAATATAACTGAAACATGTAAGTGAAACAGGGGAAGCTTCCATGGGGTCTGAAAAATGACCCCACACACAATATATGATTAATACTGACCTTGAGATCTTCGTATTCCTTGCGGAGGTGAAGAATGGCTACTTCATGGCTGTGAGCCTGCTCTTCACATTTAGCTTTTTGCTCCTCAATTTTTTTGGACAAGTGTTCAATCTCAAAATTCTCTGAAGCAGAATTGTGGGATTTCAATGACTTCATCTAGAAAAAGAATGAGATTGATTAGTAGCTAATATTCTCTTCCACCAGAAGTCTGCATTGAAATAACCAACTGAATCAGTAGAAGTCTATCCAGCAATACATGCACTTTAAAAGATGTCAATGATGACAAGATGTATAAGAAATTGAAATTTTTGGCTTTATTTAATAAAAAAGAGGGTTAATTTCATCATTCCACCAATGGAAATATGATTATATTCTGAACCTCAATCACCATATTTTATTCCTCTCTTGCATTCCCTTCTTCTTATTGTGCACATTAAATGTGAATCCAGATGGTGGTGTTACAAAGGTGGAGGGAGAGATTGAAGCCCACCTCACATTATTGCCACAGGGATAAGGATGCAGGCCAAGACATGGAAAACAACAGAAAAAATAGAGAACTAGGAAGGGATCCAGACCATGGTTCACAAGTACCCCAGCAATTGTCCAATGACCAATTACAGACTATATGGGGGACTAGTCAAAGGGTAAAAGTATAAGATCTCAGACTTTGATTATATGCAGCTGTCACAATCCATCTTGGTTCCTAATGATACTCCAGCAATATTTAATTTCTATATTCACAGGTTCTTGACATTTCCTTAATGAAACACCCAAGCATCAGTAGTGGCACTACTACTGGATCTCTTTCTTCTTACAAAGCAATGACTAGAGCATATTCATTCAATCAAAAGTGCTGACATTTTTCCTTCATAAACTTTTGATATATATGCATGCATTGCCAGCACAGGTTAAAAAATCATTTCATTCATGAGCCATTAATTTTTTGTGTAAAAACTGGCATTTTACAGGGTGCTCATTATTTAAACGCAACATAGGGAAATTTTTGTTGCCTGTTTGTGGATTTCAGCACATGCTCACTGGGTTACCTAGCTGAAAGGATAAAACTTATTCTTGGTTTGTTTCCTTGCATATATGCAACCCGGTGTGCCTTATAGCGTTCCCCAAACTCCACTTACAGGTAGCAAAACATTCCCTATGTTACATTTAAATACAAACACCCTGTATATGTAGGACAGTGTGCAGAGATGTCCATGAAAAATTCTACACCATAGTTCATTATTGAACAACAGATGGCACTAGTGGTAACCCAAGTGGCAAGCCAAGAATATAGGAATTTGTGAGTTACACAACACTAAATCAATTTTTGGCATATTGTGGTAAATTTAATTTAGTTTTCTCTTTGAAAAATAATTATATTGTCTGGGACCTAAATAATGGAATCCACTCTTGTATGCTATGTGTAGGCGATTGAAATACCTAGTTTCCTAAACATAGGGTGCCTATTTTCTGTCAAGTGGTGATTAGTTAAGAACTGGAAATATTTTTCCAATGGCTTCTGGTTCCAAAATAACCAGAATGTATTCATGAATTTGAAAAACTCAACAATAAGTTTTTTTCTTGCATAATTGGATTAATGCAATACTGGGTTGAATGAATGTAAAAATATTTAAAAATCTGTTCTGACATTGCACTCATTACATGCTGGGAATCTCTAGGTTATAAAATTGATAATGGTGCTCTATGGGAGTTTTGAGCAGTCCTGCCCCTCAAGAATTCCCAAAGTGTTCATGATGATGAGAGATGATAAGGAGCATCATCATGACATTAACTCAGACCTCAGACTAGTCTCCCCTTTAATTCAGGAAAAGCAATTTGTTCCTGGAAAAAAACTACAACAAAAGTTTACTCAGTTTACCTCTAGTCAGGCAACAAAAACTGGATAAGAGCAACAGATTGCTAAAAACACTGCNGTCAGGCAACAAAAACTGGATAAGAGCAACAGATTGCTAAAAACACTGCTGTTTCCAAGTTTCTAGCAAGAATATTAGTAACACTGACAATAACCTAACCAGTGATTGCCCAAAGCCTCTGGGAAGATATGGAAGGTTCTGACTTATCCTATGACATGACAGGTCACACTTTTGCTAAGGTCACTAAAAAATACATACAAGCAGTTGCCCCAGACTCACTTGGATTTCAAGGGCCTTTATTTGTCTGTCTTTTTTTTCTTTCTCCACAGAGTCCTTCTTTGACTTCTCCTCCAGCCTCTTGATTTCCTTTTGGAGTGAAGCAGTCTCATTATGAAGACTCTTCCACCGATTGATCTCCTTCTGTGCTATTTCTAAGGAATGACACTTTTCCTTCAATTCTTGATTCACAGCAATCAACTTTGCCTCCAATTCCTTGACTCGTCCTTCTGTTTGTTCCCAGCCTTTGCCTGTAGTCTGTGAATGGACCGACACCTTTGGTTTGTTGGCATTCTGTCGAAGCTTTTTCCGTTCTGCCTCCAGCCACTCAATTTTTTTCTAAAAGAAACACACAATAAAAATAAAATTGACCCTAGGAATCTAATTGCCATTCACAGCTCAATTCAATAACTTGGTAGCTATCATTAAAATAATTACAGGTCACAATACCTCAGCACTTTGCAATTCACTCCTTAATGCTTCCTGAGGGTCAAATCCTTCCATGAACCTTGGACTGACTTGCAACACTTGGAGACGCTCTTTCAGACTTGAGACTTCATGCTGAAGACTCTCTCTTTCTGCTTCCCACTCTTCCTTCTGTGCTTTCAAGCTGATCTGCAAATGTTTTTAGTATATGCCTATTTTTCTGAAAACTTGGACTGACCTAAAATAACATATTGCTACACTCACCAGGAGATTCTTGTTTTCTAAGTAGATCCGCTCGTTGTCAACCTGCAGAGCATGAATGAGATGATCCAATTCTTCATTCTTTTCTTGGTATTTTGCTTGCTCTACATCTCTCATGTCCAACTGCAACAGAGAAAATACTGCATTATAAGGTGACAGCTAAGGAAGCATAAAATTTATATATCATTTATCACTGCCAGCGAATCAAAGGAGATAAGGGATCCCCAGCCTCCCAAGGTTTTCCTTTATCTTCTCCAGATGATCATGGCTGGGGTTTCATTTCAAAAGAAAAGTGCTCAAGAATGTAGAGTTCATATCCACTGAATCTAAGGCATGTGAAATCTGAACTTTCACAAACAATACCTTATGGTAATTGTGAGCAAAGGGCAAAGACTGAAGACCACTCTTGCTCCATAGAAGAAACATAGGGTATACCTTAAAATAGACTTTAGTAGTGTCTTCATGAGCTAAAGACTGGACTCATACAGCAAAAATCCAAACAAGCTTCCAACCAGATATAGGCAAGCTGGGAAGCAAGTGATTTCAAACATTGATTATCACAATGCTTCAGTCCACACAGCAGATTATGACTTGGGCTATACATGTTGGATTCAGAGTAGAGGCTGTTTCAAACTTACCATTTCCTGCATGTCATGCATTCACATGCAATAATGTATCCATTTGCATGCATATCATTTTGCATTGGAAGAGAATGCATGCACACTCTGAACGCATCCACACATGTGCGAACAAGAGAGATATAACAGCATGTTTGTATTCAGAATTGGACGGAACTCAATTCTCAAAGTTAGTCTCATGTCTCCTCATCACATGAAAATGCACACCAGCATGCATTCACATTAATCACATGTAAGAAATGCTAAGCGTGATAAAGCCTTTATATGCAAAATGAGTGAGTACAACTTTCCAATTTCAATTATGTGACAGATATGCGAGATCAATCCCATAATTGCTATTCTGGTATTGCTCATGAAAGTGAGATATACCTACTATAATAGATATTTAAAACTTGTTTATGATGCATGTAGTTGCTGAACTAATTTGTGCTGAATTTATTCAGTTCTGAATAAATTCTGAACTACATGCTCTCATGAGAAAATGAACTCTCAAGTTCATTTTCTCGTGTGTCAGGACTCTACAGAAGTAAAAACTGGACACTTAAGATTATCCGAGAACAGAAATTAGGCAGTATTGTGGATCAGCATAGTCACAGAAATACCAACATCTGAGAACCATCCATCAGCAAATAAGTTGAGGACTGCTGACTGCAGTGGTAAGATCATATGTAACAAATAAACCCAGCCCACTGTGCAATGCAATTATAACAGTCGAGCTGATTTCTACCAAGAGCCCTTTATCTTTTCTTAAAAGTAGGTCTGCTAGAAATCTCACCCTTTGGACCTGTCATAAAATGAAAATGGTTCAGACAGTATAGTCACCAGCCCCAACAACGACATATAACTTGCCTTTTTCCTGAAAGAGATGTTTTCCTTGTTCAAGTCCAAAACTTTCTGCTCAAGAGATGTGATTATAGCAGATACATCTTGACTCATCACTCCTGACTTCATTGCAGACTGCCCAAAGATGTCACCTGGTTCATCACTCCCTGCAATTTTAAGTTCGACTCTTTTGTCCATTTGATGTGCAGACTGGGATTTTAAAAAAAGAGTATTAATTGAATTTAACCTTTCATGCATGAGTTTTTAAAACAAATCAAAACAATGCTATTTTTAGTTCAACATTTTAGGTGGTACTCTGCCATAGTAGACACATTTTCCAGAGCTAGAAGGCAACACTGAATAGAATTGGTGCCCTGGAGTGGATAGCATGCACCAAAAGTTTTGAGACATCCATATAATGGCTGAAAAGCCACCAGCATAGCCAAAATCATTGCCATCCAATACAGTGGACTTCATGCACGAAAAAGTTAAAAGCATAATCTATTATGATGCCTAAAAAATGTGATCACCTGAAATGGGCAAGGATTGACGGGGGGGATTCTCCTGCTGCTTATCAGGTAGCTGTAAGTGTGCCTTCCTGGCTAGCAGCCCAATATCGTGGCATTTATGTCCCTCTCCTGTATAAGTCCCTTCTTCCATAGAGGAAGGATTAGCAGGGTCCTTGAGGTGAGCTAAGTCAGTATTACCCTGAACATCAGCAGGTTCACACTTTGGATGGTTCTCAGCACACTCATGAAACACATGTGAAGATCTGGAAACTCCTGACCCTGAGGCAAGGGACTCAAGCACTTTCTCCCTCTTATTGGCTGCTTCCAGTAAGGGAGACTCCAAATTTCCAGGATGGCTGTCTTGCTGTTCCATTGGAGATTTTACATCTTCTGTAGTCTTAGGAAATGTTATTTGAGCAACACCACCATCATCTTCATCATCATGTTCAGGCACATCATCAAGACATAATAGTAGATTAAGTTTAGGGTACACGTGTAAAGAGTTCACCCCTTCTGAAACCGATAGTCGTAGAACTTCGAGAGAGTTTTAGAGGAGGTGTGAAGCTTACAATGAACACGGACATCTTTTTCAAATGGGACTATGATTTGTCATACCATCCTTTATATGGTGAGAAATACTCCCTAAAAAGCCTCACTGTCACAGTTGGTGAGATAGATCAGTAAGTCAAGTCGTTCCATCTTAAATATGATTCTATTCACAAAGGCAATGTATACAGAGCCAAACCTAAACTAATTTTTTTTTTCCTTACTGGTACATGGAACCCCATTTGCTTCAAGGGTCCAAATGACACTTCCAAAGTACAATTATAATAGAGCAGCTTATCATGATGACTCATTCCTACATTCTGTACAAAAAAATGATAGCTTATAACATAAGCTCAAACTTAGGAAGGGCATTAGCAACCTCTTTTCAACATTCATGAGACACTACCATATAGGATGTAGCATGAGTAATGTTCCATTTTGGCTTGTGATAAATAAATAAAAAATTTAAATTGGCTGATATCAAGTAAATCAGCTAGGATCAATATTGGTCAATACCAATATGGCAGATTTGATCTTATCTGATTCCCTGCTGTGATATATGCTGCAATTCCTCAAACAGGTACCAAATGCTCCTCTGAAAGGAACAGGTTAAATGAGAGAAAGATTGACATATGTGCATTTTTTTAATGAAAAATTACATGGGTTGTTCCAAAAGATTTGCAACTTTAATACCTCCAGAAACTCAATTCATTCCAAACTTCTACCACTTCATGAAGAATCTTCTATTAGCAGATATACAGTCTGCTGTTTCAGTCTGCTGAACCAACTTTCAAAGCAAGTTTCTTCTGTGGTGAATGAGGTTAACACTTGGTTCACTATACCATAAGACTCCTCTCTGGATTTAAATCATCTTCCCTTCAGTGGATATTTAATTTTTTTGAGGAGTCAGAATTTATATGGAACTAAATCTGGAGAATGTATGGAGAGAGACAGCGTCTGAGCTCCAGCTTAATCCAGAAGCTATTTTTTTCTTGTTGGTTCAATTAGCTTGATTATTGTTTTAGTGAAGGAGCGTTCCTGAAATTTCATATTTGGACCTTGTTCTCTCTTAGCTTCAAACACTTTAAACATGCAAACATCTGCATATCAGCCTAAAGTAACTTTATGCCACTCATGGTGACTGGCCAACTTAAAAAATGTTGTCTACAGAGATGAGAAAACCATGCATGTTCTTTCAGACACCTCAAGGTCTAATGAATTACACAGGTGTTTACTCATCTTGAAACACCCACATCATACTTTGCCTCTTAGTGAGAGGGTCATGATGGTAGAACCAGATTTATTCACATGTGATGATGTCACTTAGGTGCTTTGACCTCCTTTCATCTAAATTCTTCAACATCGAGCAGCAAAATTCAATGTGATTTACTCCTGTCTTTATTCAAGTGAGGAGGAATACAATGACAAAAAATCCTCTAGATCTATATACTTTGGAGAAGAACTTTCATCAGTGCTGCTGATGCAATTCCCACTTCTTTGTCCATCAGCTGATATGTGATGAAGATCTCTCATTTGCGACATCACTGCTTCAACTTTCTCTTCCTCAGATGCTACCACTACTTGTCCTGATTTAGGATTGTCTTTGAAACCCACCCTCCCAAACCAAAAAATATAGCAGCTCTGAATGACTATGCTATAAGCATGATCACATCCTCCTAGCACTGCTTCTATCTCATCATGGTAGTCCTTGCACATAAACCTTGGGTGAGGTCGTAGAAGATTATGACCTGGAGATCTTCTCTTCCCAGAACTGGAACTTCAGCTATCACTTTTACAACAGGCAGCACACCAATTCAATGGAATTTCTCTCCAATTTTTCATATGGGGAAAAAATTATTAATATTTGGCTTATAACCTTCAGGATCTTAGGAGAAATTACAGGATTAAAAACAGTCATTGGAAAATTATTAATGAATTATCAATTGCAAAACTTTTGGAACACCCCTCGTATTCTTGCCTATCTCCATCTCAGGAAATCAGGGGTTAGAGCATTTCACTTTTGACAGCCACTGGAATCAGTAACAGCATTGGATATACCTGGATCAGTTCATCCTTTTGCAAAACATACCCGAAGATGACAAATCCTGGACAATGACATTCAAGGCCTTCTCTAATGTGGAATCCCCACCAGATAAGGAGACATCTTGAGTGGAAGACAGTGCAGCCAGAACTCTGTTCAGTTCCTCATTACTTATTGTAATGGATGATGAATCTAAATACAACAGAAAATGAAAGAGAGATGATTCCCATATGGTCAACTCAAACTTTGACCAACAGTAGTCATAATAGTAACAACTATCAGATACTTCCCCAGGTGTCTCTGCCCAACACTTCATACAGACACAAACAGAAACATAGGTCTAATACAAGTATATACTTCAAAAGAAGGGGAGATGGATGGCGAGGCAATAGAAGAAAGTGCCCAAACAAACACTTGAGAGAGCTTTTCATTAGGTATAAATTCTCAGCCTCCTAAAATGTAAATGCATAATTCCTGTCAGGGCTTCATGAACTACAAAATCTGGGATGGTCTAATATTAACATCTAATTTTGTGCTAGAAACTATTGCATAACTAATTAGCTGCTCAAAATTCTGACACTTTTGAGCAAATTGCTATGAGATTCAAGTAACAGCAAATATTGGGTTGTTGGAAACTGCAATATATGTGGGTGTATTTAGTTGCAGTAGTAAAGGGCTTCTGAGGCTTCTGAAGAGGTGATGGATATTAAGAGCAAACACAATGTTTGCAGTTGGTGTGAAGATTTGTAATATGTTCCTATGAAAGGATAAGGCCAGGAATGAAAAAGAATACAAAAAATTAAAGCCTACACAAAACAAAAACGCTTACACACAATAAAAAGGGCATGAAAGAATCCATAAATCTTGGTCAAGTTCCTTTTAAAGCCTGCCTAGGCCTTGAAAATTGGCTTTTCTCTCTCTCTCTTTCTCACTCTATTCTTTTTCATGTGAAACCTTCAGTTAAATCTTTTGTAACCTACTGGGCAGTGTCTGTAAATATGGGATTGAATCTTTAGCCATGGGACTATTTGCACAACACAATTGGTCTATGATATTTTCATTCAATATGGAAAGAGTGCTATGGGAGTGAGGATTCAAAGTGAGCAGGCATGGGGTAGAGGGGGATTACTGGGGATACAACAAGGAATATTATGAGTGCCATACAATAGTATAAAAGTGAGGGCATATGATCACAAAGTGATGTCCCAAAGACAGTATGTATAATAGGATCTGCTGAACTCTTGCCATGGAGAATATTCAGAGGACTTGCAGAACAAGGACTAGGGTTCCATGAGTCACTTTCAGATCTCCCAGCACATCCAGGCCTAATGACAGACATGTATGTGTACCTGAAAATGTGTTCTGGCAAGATGCGAGTTCAGTGCAATCTCTCTCTTTGTGCATGAAAACTAAACTTCTTACCACAACCCTAAGTTTGACTTAGATATGATTCAATATGATAAAAGGCCAATGTCTAATTTAAGCCTCAGCTTACACACTTACATATGATTGGGTCTAAAGAGTCAGGCAATGAAAACTTGAACTTTTTTTTACTGGCTACCACAGTGCCTCTCGTCTTTGCACAGAGCTGACCTAGGCCTACCACAGGTCAAGGCTGGGTGTAAAAAGAGAATGCCAATGAAGGGATATCTCATTTTCAGATTTTATGAGATCCTACTAGACCTAGCCTATACATGGAAAGGCAGGGAGGTGTGGGATTAGGCCTAGCTCCTGACACAAAAACCTGCTTTATTTGGTCTTATTGTAGAAATTACTTTTCACCATAATTTTGTGGGCAAAAGTAAAGGGTTAAATTCTGCGCTCTTAGAAGGGATTCTCTTTTTTGTACCTTTTTGAACGGTAAAACATAGGCCCTTCCCGAATGGCGGGGATTATGAATTTGTATCAAAAGCTGATTAAATGTTGGCAAGGAAATTAAAATCCGAAGGAGGTGCAGCCAAATCGTCGCTGATTGACGTCAGCTTCCCAGGTCTAAGCCGAACAGGCTCTTCAGATGTCAACATTCAGAAGGAAAGAAAAGTTTGATCAGATAAAAGTCATGAATTCGGTGAACCTAAGTGCACGTACCACTCGGCGAAGATAGGAGGCGAGATCCTTTCTCCATTGTTTAAGTTGGCCCAAGGAGAAAAAATAATGCAGTAGACAGGAAGGCGACGAGTGACTGGAAGCACATGACCTTGGGGCTTGAGACCTGCAAGAAAATAGTTAATGACATGGGCCGATGCACAAAGCTAAAACGTGGCGCATGCGTTCTAACGTTACTTATTCGTCTCTAAGCCCAGGCAGTGCCGCTGGCAGGCAATTCTTAGCGGCTGAAATAGTCCATAAATGGCAGAATGCATCCTTACCCATGGGAATAAGTTACCCTGTCTGCTCGAGGGCATCGGGTAGCGGTAGAAATTTCAGGTTAACGTTGGGGAAAATGTAGGAATATCATGATGCATTAATTCGACGTTGAGAAGTCTTTTTTTCACTCACTATGTGGAGAAACAATTGTGCCATTTGCATGTTGCCAAGAAAGCAGTGGCGCATTTTTTGGCTCATGAGCCAAGAAAGGCAGTGTAGCGGAAAAGAGGAGAAGGAGAATTATGCTGCGATGCACTCACTTTGCTCTGCGACACCCAGGTTCAGTGGCGTATTTTACAGGGGGCAGCCCCCCACCTGGCGCCCTCTTGGAGGTAATAATTTCCCCACCTGATATCGCTCCGGTGGGGTTTGGGCGCCCCCGCTCTGTTGCCCCGCCCCCCCCCCCCCCCCCCCCCCCCCCCCCCAGCGCCCCCCCCCTTTTCCCCCCCCCCCCCCCCCCCCCCCCGACCCTTCAACCAAATTACGCCACTGCCAGATTACTTTCTTCCAGCTCCCCAGCTCTAGATTCTGTAAAATGCTCTTTACTCAGCAAAAAGATTGGAATTGGAGTGTAGTAGGATTACGTGCGGGATGCCATGGTGGCTGACCGCAGCACTCGTAACCTCGTCAGGGATCATCAGAAACAAAAAAATATCATCATTCGTGCGGAACTTTTCTCTTCCCAACAAGCTAGATTTCTGTGAGAGGAGTGCTTGAAGCCTCCTTCAGGCCAAGGTCACTGCACTTCCTTGCTAATACTCTATTCTGGCTGCTAATACCTCGCTAATACTCTCGTATTAGTACTGAAGAGAAGATCAAGAGGATGAAGCTTCATGAAAGACGAGCTGATTTACATTCTTCAAAAGTGTTAGTTATAGCTGAATGTTAAGACGAGTCTTCCTTCGCATGGAAATTGCAATTTTAACGCCTGAGCCAAGACTGCAACTTGATATACCCTCAAACTACTTATACCAGGGTAAGTGAAGTGACCTGCGCAGCTTCAACAGTTTTCGCGAGAAGAGATATCTGAGTTAATTTCTTCTCGCGAAGAGGTATTGCAGGTATTGTAAAAGGTATTGCAGTTAGCGCCACGGGACACGGGAGTCGGGACATCACATGGGGAACAAGGACCAGACTGGAATACTCTGTTGTTAACGCAGACCTGGGAATTTCTAAGGCTTTCTCGAGCCAAGATTCCCTGCCGCATGCATCTAAGAGTCTTCCCCTCTCTCCTCATCAATCATCTCTCGTGGCGTCGACTTAAAGCGACTTGCGAAGTTCTATTCTTCCAGCCCCAAGCTCAAGAAGCCATGAAATACTACACACTTCTTTTATTCTGCAGTGTCACTCGCTTCCTTTTGTCAGGCAGCGACTGCATTCATCGCTCCGTCGAAGGGAGGGTTTATAATCGGCTGAAGGCCATGCACGCCGAGATTTTCTTGGTCGACCAGCGTGTCTTGTGGATGAGATCGGCTGGAAAGCGAATCTGAGAGTACAAACGGACTGTTCTCGAAATCATAAGGGAAGAATCGACTTGGAGACAGGGATCCTTCTGAGTCTCTCGCACACCATTCTCGTCAGATCACCCTAGATGGACAATATTCTATATTTACAGAAGGAACGGGTAGATACAGGATGATTTACTGTACTTTTTTTTTCTCAAGAGACTGTATGTCTAGAGGCTGTCCAGAGAAGCAAACGATGCGAATATATACGTTTTTGGAAAGCCCTGGACGAATTCATTCGAATGAGCCCATTCTTTGCTGAAAAATCTCTCTTCTGGACGAAGTTACATTTTCCTGAAGTTACAGGTTTTCAAATACTTTAAATTAATGCTTGGTCAATTCTCCATCCAGCTCTCAGCCACCAAAAGCTGATTGGAACCAAATTTTTGCCTGAATCGAACACTTTGATCGCTTCTTCAATTCGCCGTTCGATGTTGCGCTTCTTGTGACCGTGGGAGAAACCAGCTTTGTGTCGGTCTTTCAAGACCTGAAGATTTACACAGGATATCAATGCTATATTCGATTACTTCAGCATTTTGGAGGACCTGCTGGGCAAAGAGCCAACTCGTTTTGGAGAATTTTTAGTTAGAGGGGTTCGGACCTCAGACTCATTCTCAAAATGAGAGTTTTCAGCAAAAATAAACTCATTCAAAAGATCTCGCTGGGAGCTTTCAAAAACGTATGTATAGGCATAGGTTTGCTTCACTGGATGCAAACATACAGCCTCTGGAGAGAGAGAAAAAAAGATTTACTCTGGTTTTCTATTGAATATAAATATAAAATATAGTCCATCTAAGGCCTCCCGTAACTGGTGGCGTAGTAAGGGCTTCTATGGCTCCTGCTCTGTTGGCCACAGCGATGGCCAGCCAGATTAGCAGAAGGCGGGTGGTCCGGCGGCCGTACGACCAGCGGTATGTTACTAAAAATCTCAAATGGCCTTTTGAGTTGTGCACCCCTGATTTAAGGCGATCCAACGAGAATGATGTGCGAGAGATTCAGGAGGATCCCTCTCTCCTATGACCTTGGTTTACTACCCGGCAAAAGGTTCCAGCCGGAAATATTTCTGGTTTTACTCGGTTTGTTATGGGCTTTTCCGGCAGGTGGATTGCCGTGCAGGAAACGTCACTGGTTCCAATTGGGAATTAGAAAGTAGGCATTTTCCGGCCGGGAAAGGAGAGACCCGGCAGAATACAGAATGAAATTCCAGCTGGAAACAGCATACCAATTTACAAATAGTCTGGTTGGAAATGCTGCGAATTCCTGCTGGAAGTGGCTCACATTTACATAAAGAAAGCTAGCTATTTCCAGCTGGAACTTCGTGATGGGTATGAACCACCCTGTACTACTTTCATTGCAATACCATTCAGAAGCAGATTGAGAAGGAAAGGCCTTTGCAAAGACGATGTTGCCATAAAATGAGAGCACTCTTGAAGGGAAAATCGGAAGACGTTAAGATAATCTGAGTTACCCAACGGATGTTGCAATATATATCCAGAGATATGCTTTCAATTGCTTAGCGAGGGGGGAAAGGTCTGAAGTCGTCCCCCCCCCCCCCTCCCAGCGGAGTAGTTAGAGAAATCCTGGCTATGCCACTGTATGCTTTCCATAGTGTGACCAACTAGCATTCCTGATGGCCTGACGATTGACAGCAGACGCTATCTTACGACCAATAGATAACGGAGGGCTGTTCCAACTAATGAACAGTTGGAGGGAAGGTTTTTAGATCTCGAACCGCAAAAAGAAACTAAAGGTACGGAATGATAACTTGAATTGACATTTATCACAGGACTCGAAGCAAAAGCCTGAGCTATTGGGATGAATGTCTATGGGTCAATATTCGACCCAACGACCCTGAAGTCAGAGAAGAGAGGGAATACTGCAGGAATGCTTGCAGGATGGAGAATAATTTGAATGCCTTGGGGCTACTTCTTCCTCGGCTTCGACAATGGTCAGTCCTAATCCCCGATAAGGATGTTCTGGGAGGGAGAATTTCTCTACTCTGCGCCGATGATAGTGTTCCTGTTTGGCCTGTTGTGGAATTTAGGTCTTACCCTTTCTGATTGGTGTTGGCTCCGATGAATGATCGATAGTCTTGGTAAGTCGTATGGCGGAAGTGGTTCAGTCTTAATTAATAGCAGTGATACTTCCGCTATTTTCTTTTATCCAAATCTGCAGCAAGACAGGAGGTTTTCTCATTTCCCCTCTCCGAGATTGGGTCTGCCTACCTTCTCATGCAATTATTTTTCCCCCTTTCCTTATCCAGCTTTGCAGCGCGCTGTGCAAGGAAGGTTGGGTAGGTGGGACCCTGCACCCAGTAGGGGAAAGCTAATAAGCAAGAGCGGGTGCCGACTGGCTCTTCCTACGTCTTGATGCGTGTCCAGGCACGGCGTATCCCAAAGTCTCCTGCGCGTTGTTTTCATCGCCTGGGTTTCACCAGGAGCCATACCCAAAGAGAATCTTAGTGAGAATGTGGCGAGCCAGGAAAACGCAAGTTCGTGGCAATCTCTGATGAAGTTGAGTCACATTGCCTCCATTACCCAAGGAGCACCAGGACTACGAAATCGTTCAGTAAACTCAAGGTTAGTCTGTGGTGATCCATGGGGTCCGTGGATAGCTCAGATACTACCTAAGTTCCCCTTTTCTCATTCTTAGAGAAGGGCAGGGGCAGCGATACTTCCAAGGGCCACATCACCGGTACCTCAGAAAAATCTGAATTCCCTAACCAGGGGCGAGTTATAAAAAAAGTTATATGAAGTTGTGAGAAACGAACATGCAGTCAAGGAAATGACTGCAATCAGGCAAGGAACTTTGCACTAATTCTTTCTCTCTCTCAGCGCCCATCTCTGTGCTCTTCACTCCCTACAAGACTGGGAGTAGTTGGACGCTGTGCTTGTTACTTTTGGATATACAGGGTCATCAGAAAAAGACACTCTAGTTTTCATCACGAGTATTTTCTAAAATAATACACATAGAATCTGGAATTATAGCTTACAAAACACAGGATGTTTGGGAGTTTTTTTTATTATGAAAACACATTTTGAATGTGGGAGCCTCCAGCATCCATGATCCTCTGCAGACGTTCACCGAGGTCAACGATAACCGCGAAGTGTTTGCTGATTGATGCTTTCCACGACAGTTCTGATTTCCGCCTTCAATTCTTCGACCGTATGAGTTATTCCTGTAGACATTAACCTTTAGAAGTCCCCATAAAAAGTAATCACAGGCAGTGGCGTGCCCAGGAAATCCGAAAGGGGGGGGGGGGGGGGGGGGCCAACTTTAACGCTGCCAGTTTGATAAAACTTTTTCACCATAAACACCCGCTGCTCTGTGATATACGCTAGCTTGTTTGCTACTGTTTCTCGAAATTAGCACTAGGACTGCATAGTACGATACAAACACCCAAACCTGATGTGTCGATTGATACCACATATGAGGTTGTTGGCAATGTAGTTCAGGAAATATAAGCAATGAAAACTGGAGCGTCTTTTTCTGATAACCCTGTACTTTCTTGTCATTCGCATTCTTCCTTCCCTCCAGCTTCATTCTCTATGCAATCAAACTTGCGAACTTCGTTTGTCAACTGAAAATATTGCTTTCGAAGTGCTGCCAGAGAGACAAGGCAGCGATAACACAAGTGGGACAATTGACAGTGACGCTTTCAACCGGACTTTTCCAAGTCCGGTTTGCTCTCGCAACGGGAGAAAATGAGGCAGCACCAGCCAGCACAAGTGGGCTAATGATCTCTTAAATCCGTGGTTGACGTCTCTCCTGCACTCCACGCTCGCTGGACCTTACCCGTTTTTGCTATGGACAATATATTATACCTTGGACTTAAGGCCCATAAAAAAGGCCATCACAATTTTTTTCTTTACACCTTCAAATTTTTTAAGTGTCTACACTTAAAAAATATGTATAGTAGTTTGTATTAGATGTATATTAGTTTGTGGGACCTTTTATAGCATTAATATTATTTGTATTTGTAGACAGAACCAGGTGAATGAGAATCTGCATATACAAAACCTTTATTCACTGCTGAATTGAAGTTTGATTTAGCTAGTTCCAGTCAACTCATAAAGGTTCACTCAACATCTATCTGGCAGAGTGGGGTGGAGTGGAAAGGTATCATAAAAACAGGCCTCTTAAGCAATTTCCACTTCAAACTCAAATTGGGATTGTTCAAGAGACCTAATTTTATGTTACGCATTTATTTTTATTTTTACTATAATCTGGACATTGATTATAGTTTAGGAAAAGTAGAAGAAAACAAGTCACTGAAAGAAAGATCAAATCTACATAAATAGCAGGCTGTCAATTTGTAACACGTTCACAGCCAATGATGACACCTTGTCATGATGGGAGGTCCATGGGTGTGGAATTGATGAGAATGTCTCTCCCAACAACAGCACATGCTCACTTCAAAGTAAACTCAACCAAATGAGGATAGAGAATCCCAGTCTTTGTGAAAGGGGAAATCTCTGGTCATTCATCTATGCAATAGGAAAACCTTCCAGCAAAGGGGGGAGGGACTTGCATACAATTGGCTCACCACAAATGTGTTAATTATGTAAAACATCAAATCAAAACTTGCTGCACAATCTGGTGCACTGAAAAAGTACTCACTATGAATGACTTGCGATAGTGACTTCACTGACTCAAGTTACAGCATTCATGAGGCACATAATAGAAGTGAATGATTGTATGGTCTATACCAGTCCAAGATGTGGGATTTTGCTCATCACTCGTGAATCTTTCTTCAATTTTGAGATTTTGTGATGAGGCTGGCCAGCAGCTCCTGCAGTGAGATCCTGGAGGAATAAACCAATGGGAAGCATTACTTCATGTCATCAGTAGAAATAAACTCAATGTTCATTCAATGTATTGTACATGTACATTGTACAACCTGTACTGATATTATTGCTTGCAAATACTGAATTCTCTGAAAGCAGAAGGAAATAGTACTACCTTTCTATCCCCATGCCTTAGAAACTCCATCCATAAGTGCAACTTTGTGGCACAAGGGGATGAGAGAAAACAAGCTGGACAAGCCCAGTCCAATAGTGGGCCTCCTTTCAGTGAAGGAAACCCTCATTTTGTCACCTAATTGAACAAAAATGCCATCTCTTTCTGGTCTTTGACCATAAAAAATCTAATTTCCCATTTATATTAGGTACACATAGACAAATGGTGCCCATGAAATGGTGATTGGAGAATGGAGGGCTGTACATGGTTGGATCCATCTGCCACAAAGGTTGGGAGGGAACTGACAGCTCTAGTTGCTGACATGCCGCTGTGCCCAAAGCCTGGGTCACATATGCATGCAAATTGTGGTCCAGAACCTGAAGGGCTCACTGGTACTCATGCCTTCCCCTCCATGACCAAATTTTAAATCCAAAATTTGCAATAAAAATGCCTATTTTGGTGCAAATTTGTCACAAAACAAACTCAGCCTGTATCTTGTTCATATCTATCTGCTTGTCAATTTTCACAATGGTCAGACCAATATTTTTTTAGTTATTGTCAGACAACCAAAGTGTGACACACAGACAGGACCATAGGTGGTTTCTTTCCTTTCAGGAAAAGCGGCCCACTAAAAAAAAAGAACAAAAAGGTAAGCTTACAGGGAGACTAAGCAAAGAATTTGAAGAAACTGAGTCATCCAGCGACTTGATGACCAGGGATGGACTGGAGGGATACTTCTTCAAGGGTGCTTGCAGTGGTGAGGGATCTGCATTCTCCTTGTCATTCTCCTGCAACAAATGATGACAATGTGATATTGTGCCAACACTGGTCAGAAAATGATTGAGGATTTCACTACTCACTTCATCTGAGAAAGCCATGCTCTCATTTGGGCCCTTAGCACCCTCAGTTGAGCGGAACCGCTCCACAAGCCTCTCCATAGGGCTTGTCTGAGCACAGACACGTGGATACTTGTACTCCTGTCTAACAGGGGTCTCACCTGCAAGAATCATAATTGAATTTTAAGCAACAAAACAGGAAAACTAGAGGTAAGAGTCATGTTTGCCAGATGCAGGACCAACCAGTAGTTGGAAGAGGCTTGATCTCTTCTCCCAGGAATTGTGCAACATCATCAAAGAGTGTTTCATAGCCTTCATGAAGAAGTCTCCTCCCCTCTTCTGACTTTTTCATAGACATCATAAGTGTGTCAGATACATCATTGATGACAGAAATAAGTTTCTCATGACTTTTGTCTTCTGCTTTCTGTTCTTCCTTCCGACATTGATCTACATCCTATGGAACATAAAAAATGAAATCTCATCAGCCTGGACTCTGACATGACAGAATTTAAAAGAGATCAATAAATAAAAATACAAATTACCATCTGCTTTGCAAGAAGCCTCTTTTCAAAAGATCCTATGCTACCATAATGGTGATCATACTTCTCCAGGAGGTCCTTACCCCCTGTCACTACAGAAGTTATTTCACCAGCACCCTGCTCCAATGTTGCCTGGGCCCTCTGATGCATCTCCCTCTTGCTTTGTCGGTTCTCTTCATACTGATAATGGGGAATGAAGGGATTGTAAACTATAGGGTGACCTGTTGGGTACTCATTAAATAAATACCTGCATCTTCAATTAGACACATACAGCATTTTGGTGGTTTTTAACAGAGGTGAGGCACTCCTGCACAATATTCTTGACCTCTTCTTCAGATTCCTTCAGGGATTTAACTCCACAGTTGTATCCTAAGGTTCCAGTTTCAGAGCATTTCTGATGGCCTTCTTTCCTGGAGTCAATGTTGCCCATGATACCCTGAGCTTCAGAGTAGTAATGAAGGTAGTTGTGTTCCATTATTTCCATTTCACTTTTCATTGCAGCCAAGTTCTTCTCCATTGCCTGCAAAATCAGAATCATCATTCTCATGCTATATGTGCCATAATGAAATAACTATGGAGATAGGGCTTTCATCCACTTCACAACACCAACCTCTTTCTGGTTTGCAAGGAATGACTTCATGTTACAGACATCCTGCAAGGTGTCACTATGCATATGGCTCTGTTGAAGAAGCATATTATGAAGGATCTCAAAGGTCTCCAAAGCCTTCATCTTCATCACATTCATAGCCTCCTCCAGACTTGAAACCTAAAAATTAAATAATGATGGAGGGAGTAGGCATTTGATATTTCAAACAAACATAATTGATGCCTAATGGGTCACAATTCATAGGACAAGGTTTTTCAGAGAAAATGTGAAAATAGTGTACATTTCTTGGACCCTTTCAGGATTTCTTGGATCTGGAGATGATTTCCTGACCAAAATTGGAGTTCTTGTACAAGAACTCCACTGCACCTGTATTGATGAGTGACTGAAGGTGCCCAATTCTGTGACTTTAAAAATATCAGGTAAATTTCCCTTACCCCATTTATATTTCTCCAATTATCTAAGGTTCTCTAGGCCAGTCAGGAATCTTCTGTGAGGGTCTTTGATGTGGAAACAAGTCCTTACATACTTCAAGGAAACTTTAGTAAATCTTTCCAACTGTGGTTTATATACCATATGGGTCAATATGTAGGGATCAAGCATAATGAAGTCAAACACTCATCTTCATAATGGGGCTTCACTTAATAAGTGGAGCACATTGGCTTCCCAGAAAGTATTATAAATTTTTTTTGGAATCATGTCTAATGGCTCAATTCTGAAAACTACTCTTCTAATTTATCTTACAACCCAGAACTCAATGGATTGTGCATGGGGGGGGGGGGGGAAAGAAGGCATGAGGAAGATTTTGGGTGAATCTAAATTTCATTCTGAGAGAAAGCTTCAACTCCTAAAAGTAAAAGAACTGTACTACAAAGACTACCCTATGACCTGTACTAGATAGTGGATTTATTGCATACAACTTTTTTCAATATTTGATCTCTGTTGATCTCTAAAGGGCTATCATGATTGGTCAAAATCATACAATAATGCAATTACAGACCTGCTCCTGTGATTCTTGGAAGGTAGCACGAATATAACTGCCAAGTTCCTCATCAAATGCCTCATACTCAGAAAACAACTTCTCTGTCCTATTGTGATCATCCTGCATCTTCTTGCACACCCTTTCTACAAAATGACTCCAGTCATCATGTTGCACTCTTGTTTTTCCCATCAACTCTGCCACCTGGAAATCAATACAATTTTTTGAAGTTCAGGAAAGAGATGATTTATTGTTCCAAGGGGCTTCCACACAATCTGTGACCCAACAGCAAAGTGCATGGGAACAGTCTTAGTTAAACTTTGGTATTTCTCATTTCCATGGTTCACTCACCTCCTCTTGTATAAGAACACCAAGTTCATTGATGGCAACACCTCGCTGTTCTCGAATCTTTCGTACAAGTTCTGCTCTCACACCAGACTGTTTCCTGATATCTACCATGTATCTTCCTGTGAAAACAAATCAATTTCAACGTTGAAATGCTGTAAAGAGATGTTGCAACAAAAAACTCAAACATATTTAATGTTAATAAAAAGCTCACCAAGCACATCTGTGTTTATCTGGGATGAGAGTAGGGAAAACACACTCTCCATTTTCTCACGTTCAGCCATTACCCTTTGCTGAAAGCTTCCTTGCATGACCCTGCTCTTCCCTAGAATGGTTTCTTCCATCGTTCTGGGAATGAGGGATAAAAGACAAGACAATACAAGACAAGGCAATTGGTGCAACACCTAGCATTCTCTGTTGTGAATTCACCAGTTTCTGTTAAAGATTGCTCACCTAAATCGCTCAACTTTCCCATGGAGCTTGGTCACATGCTCAGTAGCAACATCAGCTGCAGCCACAGTTTGTTTGAACTGACCAGTTACAGTTGCTTCAGTTGCTTGATAATGCTTCACAATGAATTCCTTCTTTTTGTTAGTTCTCCTCAACTTCTTCACCCGCTGTATGATGAAAGCATCCACATTTGCAATGCAAGTTACAGTCAAATCACTTGGCTATAGTAGGCCAGAATATTGTGTCCAAAAAGTAGTGCAACAGGATGACTCCTCAAAATCAGAGAGCAATCAGGCTCAGGAAGGAGGAAGCATATGGCTACTTTTAAGTTGTGAGACCATTCAACAATTGCATATTTCAGGAGTATGGATGAACTTCTCAAGGCTCTTGGCACTTTTTATTTAATGCTCCCTCCCATTTCTTCTTTCTTTTTTAGCAGCTGATTTTAAATTTAAAGTCTTTGTCTTATCACTGTTCTGTTGCATTCTAACTTTTGGATGCAAAATACTGTATAAAGAATTAGTTACTCTAACAAGACTCACTTTCTTGGTTTGCCCAAGATTATCCTTTGTCTCCTGCAGTTCCTGCTGAGTTTCAGCCATAGCCTTCTGGAGGGTTTCAAATGTTGCCTAGTTAACATGAAGGAAAAGCATTTAAGGAATACAGAACACACCAACCTGAGAACCAATTCCTCACAGGAAGGCTCAAAGAGGAAATAGCAGATAAGGGAACTCATTCCCAATTTCAATGTTCAAAGACTTATTGATATAGTGGAAGATAACAAACCGTCAGCTTTGCTTGTTCTTCTATTACTGAGCGAAGTTCAACAATCTTCTCAGTGAGTTCATCATCCAGGCTGGCAATCCTGCTCACCATTTCATTGTAATTTTCTGGAGCCAGGAAGATACCATTTTTAGAACGAGCAGCCATGAGATCCCTTTGGAGACGATCAATCTCATCTGCATAATCCTGAAACAAAACCAGGAAATTAATCCAGTTTCACATGTCAGTGCAACATGATTCAACAGTTGCTGAAGTTGACAACAATGACTCTTGCCAAGGCATATTAAATTTTGGGGTCTTTTTTGGGGGCCACCCTGTACTTCTCATGGCATTCTTTTCTTTGTATAACTCATTATTTTTCATAACTGGAGGGAATGATTACAGTTCATTTCATCCCAATGCAGCAGATGCAAAAAAAATTAATTTGCCAATATCCAAGCATTTCTGCTTTGATTTCTTTTAATTTGTAGATTTTTCATCGACAGAATTAAAAATTTTTTAATTACATGGAAGCTTGCTGCATCTTGGTAATTATTTGTTGCATAAAAACAATCTTTGAACCTTGAGAATGAGATCTAGAAGATAAAAACATACAAAGACTTTGGATGCTTAGAATGTTGTCCTCAAAAAGCAGTGACTGAATGTGCAATCATCATTCACCAAATTAATCAATTAAGTGATCTATACGTTTGGTTCTTTCAAATTCAGAGACTTGGAATAGCATAACCCTTAAATAAAAATAAAGATAAATTTACTACTGTAAAATATCTGTGTAAACCAAAAATTAGAATAAGATGAAAGCCTGCCCAATCCAGAATATTTCCATAGTCTTAGTTTCCATTTCTGAGAGGTGTTACTGTATTTTTAAACTTCAAGCCCTGTTCTACTAATGAACATGAGCTTTATGGGAATTTTCTGGCTACAGCAAGTCAAAGGATTAGGCTTTGCATTCTCCTCATGACTTCCTGACATGACCTGACATTTGAGATGCTAACCTTTATGAACTCCTTCTTACTTCTCTTCTCATTGATCTCAGGTTTGTTTGTAATGCACCTGGCTCTTTGGGCATAATCAAGTGTTGACAATGTCTCATCCAGATTCATGGATGCTGGTCCAACAGTGGCAATGATGGAAGTCTTCGTACGACCTCCAAGGGAGTCCTGCAGGATGCGGGTGAGTTTGGACTCACGGTATGGAACATGAACAGAACGTTCCATACCAAGGGCCATAATAACACGAGCCAGTGTTAGAAGACTTTGGTTAATGCTCCCTGCTTCTCGAGCCCGTCGGTCCACAGCACCACTTCGGCGGATGTTTTCACTCCCTGAGACAACCACAAAGGACAAACTTTTGAAGTACTGGACACAGAATGTCAGGGCAGTCCATTTCTGAAGCTTTCATTTAGGCTAACAAATAAATATTTACCTGCCAAGTCTACTAGGTTCATCTTTCCAATCTTCAAAACTTCATCTCCATCAATGGTGACTTCTTTGATGTTCACGGTCACAGTGAAGATCGCATGTGAACGGCTGGAAAAAAGTGGAAGCACCTTGGATGCATAAGTATCTCTAACGAGAGGGGACAAATATTTCCAATACTATTTTCACCCATTTCTGAAAGTCAAGTAACAGTAGATGGTAGGCCAGAATAGCCATGATAAATTGTCTAACAAGAAAAGAAGCTACTAAATTTTAGACTTAGTTTGGAAATGAAGCATTAGAATATAATCCCTCTTCTGAAAGCATCCTATTCTGATTGGTAACAATGAGTGGCATGAGTTCATTATCTCCTCATCACATTCAGAAAAAGGTGAAGAACAGTTTATGCATGTAAACTTTTTTTTTACTGCTGCACAAATGGTCATGTCAATGCTGAAACCTTGATTGAATCCCAAAATATGATAGATGATAGAAAAACATAACTATGCATCATTGTGTAGAAGCAGCAGGAAAAAGTGGATATCAATGAGTCACAATTGTACTTCTCACATGGTTTTGAATTAATATTAGCAGAAGCCAATCCTGGAAATTGTCCTTCTTTTGCCAGTTTTTCTTCACTGAGGTGATTTTGGAAAAAAAAAAAGTAATAATGGAAAAAGGTCTCTACAGGCCCCATGCAGCCTGCAGCCCACAGGTTGTGCATCACTGATCCAAAGCCTCCAATCCATATTTAGGTTTGTTTCACAGTATGAAAATACTCACTGCACTTCTTTCAAACTGTTGAATCATTTCTTCATGACTCAACTAATTCTTATGGTGTTTTTTATAGCAGGAAATGAATCCAATGGTCAGGCTACATTTCCAAATGTCCAAAATTCCTGCTAAAAAGTATGGAGGCAAGTTTCCTTCATTTTCATCACAACTACAGAGATTCTGATGCATAAAATATTTTCATTAAAACTTCAGCCAGTGTAAATCATGATTTCTTAGTGATATAATTAAGCATCAGTAAAATGGAGCACTCAGAAGCACCAGATATTATTGGAAAGATGCATGGGCATACATCATACCTACCTTGACCTTTCATTCAGATTTGTGGAAGCTGTGCGGCGTTTTAAAGCTCCTTTTTGCAGCAGTTGATAGACTTCAGCTTTGTTGCGAACTATGACTTCTTCCAATCCACTGATGATCACATTCCCTTTCTTTCCTGGATCTTCAAATAACCTGCAACATTAAAATGTTCCCAGTCTCTTTCAGAATATACCAGTGTAGCATTAGGACAAGCATTTTGGTGACCAGCTTGACCAACCTCAATTTGGTATTGTCCTCCACAGGAGAGAGCAAGTCAAAGAGTTCCTCATTGTACAGTTCCATATATGAAACTCTGATTGTGAACTCAACATCCTGAATGCGAAGTTCATCAAACAGCTGACTCACAGTTCTTGGAATCAAGCCAGCAGATGGATCCTGAAAGATGGATTTAAGGGAACTTCACCAATACCTCAGCACTAACTCTTTCACACTACTTCAAGCAAAAGCCTTTATCATATGATGCAATGGCATACAAAGATTAGATGACTCATGTGCAGAGAGGCCAAACGGATGGAAAAGCTTTAAAGACAGAAGTGCTTTAGGTGTTGCCAAATCATTTAATATTCCATTTCCATCTATGTTCTTTGCATTTCATGTATTTTGGCATGTTTCAGGGGAGGCTAAAACCTCTCATTGAGGGTAAGACTGAGAAAGTGGTAAAGAAAATGTATCATCTAGGTATGTGAATTTAGATCACATAAGAAAAAACACAAGTCTTTTAGTGATCTCTTATTTTTATATAAGAATATCCCTTGAATACTAATTTACAATCAAATTTCCCACACTTGTCAAGTTTTTTCATCTTTTCCCTTTCCCAGATTATACTAATACAATAGAATAATGAGTTTTGCCTGGAAAATTCTAAATCCTACTCCTAATTCATAATTAAGACAGTTTCTCACCTGGTCCCAAGGCAATCCAGAATCATCTCGATCTCCACCTTCCATTGTATAAGTCTTCCCTGTTCCAGTTTGGCCATAAGCAAAAACAGTACAGTTGTAGCCTGTTAAAACTTCTTCCACCAGTGGCTGAACAACTGACCTATATACATCAATCTGGAAATGTAAAATATTCCAAGAATTAGATTTAGCTTTCCTTTTTAATGATTTCTGGCATGTTCTCAATGCTTCTCTACCTCACCTGCTTTGACTCCTGATTGAAGACATTGTCAAATGTAAAAGTCTTTGTGAATTTATCCAGAGGCTTCTCCTTGATCCTGACATGGCCATATGAATCCTTACCCCGAAGTATTTCCACAGCACCAGACCATTTTTGTTCACGTCTCTCGGTTTCATTCAATGGCCTGTAAAATTAAACAGTTCACCAATAGTTAGAAATGTCAGATTTATCAATAGTTAGAAATATCAGATTCAGTTTTAGTTTTGAGCTAATGTTAGGAGTTCTTAACCCAGGCATAGTCATACTGATAAAGTCCAGAGGCAGGTATGAGCAGAATACCCACAGTCCAGACTGATGGTTGTCTTCAAGCAAAGGCCACATGGATTATTCATAGGAGCCACATCCAGCCCAAAGACATTATCTGGCCAACCCTCCTTCAAGTTTTAGGTCCAAATGCATAAACCTCATTTAGGAGAAATAAAGTCTTTAACCCTTTGCCCAATGCAATAGGATTTCAATGGCAATTCAAAATGACATAAAACCATTGCATCAAGTGACTCATTCAAGACACATCAGTGGCAATCTGATGATTCATCCAGGTATAGTTCATCACTTGAGGGAGTTACTAAAAACTTACAGTTACAAGTACCAACATGACTTCCAGCTGTGTGTGTGGAGTCTCCAATCTTCCCCATACTTTAGGAATATGAACTATTTGATACATCTAAACTTTTCCAGAAGTTGAATTAGTCACAGTGCAGATACATTAATGTGCAATATGATCAATATAATTATCAAAGAGCCAGGAAGATTTTGTTTCAGCCTCACAATTGTAAACTGTGTGAGACAAAGGCCATTGCTTGAATAGGCTTTCTGAACACTATCTTCAGATTGAATTTGTACCCTACCCTCTAGCCACACCTTTAATGATTTGCATTCCAATGGCACATGGAGTGTTATACATTAAATTTGCCACAATTATCCTCTCCTGTCCTGCTTGATGCAGTTACTAATAAATTGGAAAGATGCACAACTTTTAGTACTAAGGAATGCCTTTGTCATACATGTGTCAGTTCCAACACTGTTCTAAACGAGTTAGGCGATTGGATAGACATATGATGTGCCAAAGCCTGGCCTGAATGGACTTCAGGCCCAATTTTTAGGCACTCGCACACCAGGTGCATGCATACGATGGGCATTGCGGGGCCTAGGCCAATCATTGATTGGCTTACTTGACCTAACGTTCGGTCTGATCGAGGGCCTAGCGTAACGAAATTAGCTAGGCTACGCATGTATAAATTAGGCGAAACTCACCGGCAACGAACGAAAACTTTTATGTTTTGGTTACCCTCCTCCATACTGTGTATTCTCTTTGATGCAGAAGACATGTTCGTCTCAACGGAGCCAGCGAAGAAGCCAAGTGGCAGGTCTACGCCTTGACCCGACGGTCGGCTTGGCTTGTGGACGAAAGGAACTTTAAGAAGTGACGAAATGCCACTATTCGGATGGAAAGAGTTGGCAGAATGGATAAACAGCACGAGGCAACGATATTGCAACTGCTCCGAATGACAGAGCTGGGAGACAGAATAAACGGATTCGAGCTTCAAAATACCCGCAGCCGCTCTTTGTGCGTTTGCGCGGGGAGCCACCAATCCAAGCTACAGTCCTGCACGGGTCTGATAAGAACTCGGCCCGCACCGAGTCCCGCATGCGAAGAACAACCCGACCGTCCATCGGACGTCACAACCCGACCCGATTCCACTGAACCAGTAGCAATATTTAAATCTTCCTTCCATGTTTTCGTTCCTCCTTCTTTCGGAATCCCACTGATGTCGAAATCGAAAGAGGGCAAATCTTGTCCTTACCGTCTTACCGGCTTCCCGACTTAGGCCTTATTATTTCAAACGGTTTTGGGAAAACAACGGATTGTCCCGTCTCCAGGTATTGGAAATTACATGGCCATTCGATGATGAGGCTGGCTGCTCTGTAACTTGAGCGGAATGAGAGGCAGTAATACGCAATAGCAGTCTGAAAATATTCGCCAACAACAAGACTATTCATTATTTTCATTCATTTCCTCTTTAGTTAGACCTGGAAGTTTTACCTTATACGGCTCTGCAGGTCGGGTCAGGCCGATCGGACTCACCTGGACCACGAACCTTCTAATGAGGCTATTCGAATCCTCCGCTGCTTGCTCGTTCACGGCGCATGAGCGGCCCGTTGTGCCCGTGTTGGCCGGTGGGCAAAGTCCGCTCGGGCATCCTTCTCACTCTAGTATTGGCTTGTCAGTATTCTGAAGGTGAAAGCTACACGTATTTCTTTTCTCCACTGGGATGGGGAGGGTATTTAAACCCTTTCAGACTTGGTGTCCATTCAAATGAACATTGCTTTTACATTGTGTCAATGGCAATTTCTTAGGATTCTCGTGACTTTGCACTCCGTATTACGCTACAATGGGCACAATTATGCATGGCTCAGTTCCATCAGTGGCCTTCCTTCACCCATTAGTTTTGTCATCTTCATTTATTTAATTAAATGTATAATATATAATATATGGTATGATATAGTAAATTTATGCAAAATATAAAAACTACACATAAAGCATGTAAATTTCAATTGCAATCATGAAGAAGCTCAAAAATGCAAAAAAGGATGTTATTCCGATAGCAGTCTTAATTCAGGTCTGAAAGTGTTAACAACAGGTATACTATACTCTTTATTTTAAAATATATGAGAATGAGAGGTTTAGACAGCCGGCAAGAAAAGGAACACCTAGAACGAGCGATGCCACCAAACTTAGGCCATTTATTAGAAGCATCGAGGTGTGCATACGATCAATCTCCCTCCGATACCTGGCATCCCGGTGGCCTGATACAGTCATGTGGTCGCACCACATTATGAAGGTTTTCCGAAAAGTTCTCTGTATTGATTTTTAAAATGAGTTACACTCGATGAATCTTTATTAAATTTCGGTGAGCACTGGTTATATCTAATGGTATTCACTGTGCGAAGTTTAGTATAAATTTAGCCACATTTACCCTCGCTGCCGGATATTGCATGCAGTCACGATGAACGCCTCCGTCGTGCAAGAATCATTCTCAAAATATGACATTCGAGTCATCAAGTTCCATGTTCTGCTGAACGACACGCCGACAGAAATCCATCAACTGAGGTCAATGGCTTTGGGCCAACACTGTCCAAGCTTACGAGACGATTCGGAAGTGGTCAAAGCTCTTCCTGCAGGGGAAGACAGACCTTGAAGATGAGCCCCAAAGTGGGCGACCAGTTTCTGCTTCAACACCAGAAAAAGTCCAGCAAGTCGCCGACCTCCTTCAAGAAGACCGCCGAATCACCACCAGACAGATAAAGATGACTCGTCGTGAATCTAACCTGTCTCCAATGATGTCACCACTGTTACCACACGAAGATTTTACATTTATCTTTCGAAGGTTGAAATTCCACATTAATACGAGCAGAACACAGAAATGTCATATTGGCACAGGCGGATATAGCGTCCCAACATACAAAGAAACCAAAGAAGTAGCTATGAATCCAATAAGTAGCCTCCGGTAAACATCGGGTGATGCCATCTCAGAAGCTTGGAATTCTGGAATCAGTGGCAAAAGTGGCCAAGTGGATGGTTGCTTCTCTGCGAGTGCCTCTCCGTCTATGTTCGTTTCTGACTGGATGCAAATCTCTCCAGAATTTCCAGCTGAGGATCTCATTCGCGTCCTGTGCGGACATCTGCAGAATGTCCCGGCAAACTAAGTTTCCCTGGATACTAATAGATGTCGGGTGTCGTTCACAAAGGCCTGCTTCTTCTCAAGCTGTCGTGCCCTTCGCAACAAGCCAATAGAGTACTGTAATGGTGATCACTCCTTTCCATCTGGTTCTTTTATGTCCATGGTAGCTCCCTGAAGTTTTCGTCTCTCAAATTGATTAGAATCGGCCGTGCGATCGGTCCTTAATGTTCGAGATGGGTCACGACGTATGCCCATCCCAGGCAAAAATGTCGTAGATAAACCTATAGACTTCCAAAGAGTTTCCAATGTAATTCTTTAGAATTCGAGAGGTCAGTCATTGCACCTGGATAAGACTCTATGCAGGTTAGGGTGTCGTCGGTAAGGGGCTACTACTACCACGTGGATACTGTTCAGTGGGGGCGAGTGGACGAAAAATCTGGGGTGGCCAGTACGTCCTCTTCATGATGAGCAAGTACTCATCGTCGTAACAATGGGAGCATGAGGTGCGAAAGGTGCGTTTAGGTCAGCCTTCATTGAATCAAAAACATGTAAATACAGAGCAGAAATTGAAACTTCCATGGAACACTTGAAGAGTAGAGGCGCATCCGAGGAGAAAAGTATCGGTCTCTCGACTTACTCCCCTTGCGAGTTTCAGAACTTCTAAGAACAAAATCGAATCAAGCTCGCCTACCAAATATCACAATCGTGAAGGCTATAACTTCTGTCCTTTCCATTCGTGGAAACTGCATGGATACAAATCGGCCATGCGGACTCGGACGACCGAGGAGCTTTATAATTTCAGCAGAGGAACCTAAATGAGGTTTATGCATTTGGACCTAAAACCGTTTGAAATAATAAGGCCTAAGTCGGGAAGCCGGTAAGACGGTAAGGACAAGATTTGCCCTCTTTCGATTTCGACATCAACCCCTCCCCCCCCCCCCCCCCCCCGGATCGGATACCAGAAAGAGACTTTTTGTTTGCACAGTTTCTCATATCCCAAAGTACACAATATATGATATATATATATATATTTTTTTTTTTTTTCAGTCGAATCCCAGTCGGTGCAGCAACCGATCTCTTTAAAATTGCATCACTTGAAATGGAATCCGATGCATGATCCCCATGAAGATTTCCAGCAGTTCTCAACTACGATCCCTCCCTATCCCTATCCCTATCCCTATCCCTATCCCTATCCCTACCCTTATCCCTATCCCTATCCTTATTCATATCCCTCCCCTTCCCTCCCATATCCCTCTACTTACATTTGCAATGCCACCATCAGTTCATAGGATAAGAACCTTCTAAAAGGTACTTCACATTCTATAAAATTCTAGATGATCCTTGTACGGTTGAAGGAAAAATGCTACCTTTAACTCTTTATCTTTTCCTTTGGGAACACAATTCGGATCTACTTATTTCCAGAGAAACTTGATGGAGTTTCAATAGATTTTTTATACACTAACCACAAAAGTTCATGTAATTCAATATTTTACATTTGTATAATTTCTATACAGTGACACAAAAGAAGTTTTTGGAACTCTTTAGAACTTCTTTACAGTGTCTCCTTAAAATTCTGTAAAAATTTGATAAGATTCTTAATGGAATTTCACGAGAATCTCCATCGAATTTTCATGTAGTGGTTTAATACGATTCAACAGAGGGAAATAAATAGAATTCTATACGACCCCATTAATTTTTTTCATATAGTCTATAGAACATTTTCCC